TGTAGTGAGCCATGTTTGCATCACTGCACTGCAGCCTAAGCAACAGAGTGAGACCCTGTCCCAAAAAAAAAGAAAAAAGAAAAAAAAAAAAAAACTCCAAACATGTCCCAGCGGTTTGTAAGGCCTTTCTCTCTCTTCCTGCCCATTTTCCTCACTCTCCCATGTGCTCACTGTGCCCCGCCACACTGGCCCTTTCTGTTCCTCAACAGGCCTTGCCACTCCCTCTGCCGCAAAAGCTCTCCTCCCCCACATAGCCACGTGGCTCTCCCTCACCTCCTAAGGTTTCGGTTCCATTTTCACTTTTTCAGAAAGACCTTTCTTCACCCTGTATTGGATAGCCACACTGCCCCACACCATCATTCTCTAGCCGCTTACCCTGCTATATTGTTCTTTATAGCACTAAGCACACGTGACATAACACACGTTACATGTTCATTCTCTCACTACTAGGATGCAGGGCAGAGGCTTGTGTGTTTTGTTCACTGCTGTATCCCCAGCATCTAAAACAGTGGTCCAGTAATGGTTCATCCAATGTTTGTTAAATAACTGAATGAATGAGTGAATTCAGGCAAGAGAGAAAAGGGTACATGTGGAGAGAAGGTTGAACATCTGGGGTAATTTGCTAATGGTGGAGTTCTAGGAGGCACGAGGGAAGGGTTGAGAGGAAGAGAGGAGTAAAAGGTTAGGTCCTCCAGGGAGGGGTGCTTGCAGCACTAACTAACGAAGTCACGTGTCATGTGAGGTGAGCTTCCCATTGGCCTTAAATAGGGCAGATACCAGAGCTAAAAGGCAAAGGACTGGGCGCTTCCTGTTTAAGATGGCCTCTGCCCAGAAACAGTGGACTTTAGGCACCTGGCTTAGGATGGTGAGTGGCCTACAGACCTCTTATTTAGCCTTTGGAGGAGGTGGTGTTGACCCCTGAGTTCACTCTGCCTGGTGAGGCATTACCAACAGGAAATATTATGGAGCCCTCCCCTGTTCCAGACTCTCCAATTAAAATGTTCCTTCCTAGTCGTCTACAAAAGTATACCTCATCCAATCTGCAGACAAGCCAGGATTCATTACTAAATCATAAGCAAGAGTATTTATTCTAGAGAGCAGGAAGGGACAATGATATAAAGAGGAAGAAACAATGTGAAGGAGAGGGATAAGCACCCAGGGGCTTCCATAAATAGAAGACAAGAGAACCCAGAAGTCTCTGTATTTGGCTAGATGCCAAGCAAAGCTGAGCAAGGCCTTGGAAGCATCCCAGCAAAAGGCCAGGGGATGTCTAGGTGCATATTTCAGAACATGTACCTTCACAACCAGCCCAATCTCCGCAGCCACCACAGCATTCAGTGAGAGCTTTTAAATGACTGCTTTACAATAAACCTAAGCAATTGCAGCTTTTCTTTTAGACTGTCCAGTGTGGACTGCTTACTTTGAGAAGTCTGCCCATCTTTTTAAGATAATCAGCTCGCTCTGGCTGAAGATTCAGGCATTCGAGGGTGATCTACGCAGAAGGGGGCCCAAAGGCATGGAGGTGACAGGAGTCAGTGGGTGTGCACAGTGCCCTGACAAACCCTGCCTGCTCCCCCCACACCCCACCACCCTCACCTCTGCTTCCCGTGCCCACCCTCTGGGATGGACAAGCCTTTCTAGCAACTTCCCCTTCCCCTCCTCTAACTCCTCCACCCTTGCTATGTTGTCTATACCTCAGGAAACAGAGAAAACACACAGGACTTTAAACTAATCTGCTTGTTTGGAGGGATCTAAATGAAAGAGATCCAGCCAGTGTCTAAGCCTGGAGCAGCCTCCTGTCTTTGAGGGGTGCCTACTTCGGAGTTTTAGGAGAGGATAATCAGGATGTAAACGCTGGGATGGTTCCACACGAGGGCGCCTCTGAGACGGAGCTGCTGATGACTCAGAGATGGTCATTTGCCACGTGTAGTGCCCAGTGCGGCCTCCAGGAGTGCTATCTCTCATCACGGTCTGGGTCAGCGTCTGGTGCGAAGTGGGGTGGATACCCCAGCACAGGGGTCGCAGCTGACTGGCAGTCACTGGGAGCCCTCCAAGAGGCCACTTGGGCTCAGAAATCAGGGGACCACAATAGGCTGAAGACTGGAGGCTCTTTCTCAGGTGGCTCTGGCCTGTGTCATCCCCCAGGGACTCTTGCTCCATTCTGGGGAATACCTGATTTGGAACATCTGATCCCCTGGTGAGAGAGGGCTCACAACTAGATCTAATCTGATTTCAGTAGTATGACATTTCTTGCATCCCAGTGTCTGTGCAGCAATTTCATACTTGCTTCATGCATAACGTATATAAACTGAATAATAAACATGCAAAAACCATTTTCCTGATATTTTCATCCTGTGGAGCATAGGTAAATGGCCTTAGGGCAACATCAGGGGCTTAAAAATGTATAGAAAGTTGCCAAAGAAGGGGTCGCCTGGTCCTGTTAGAGGTAGAATTCTGCTTGTATAGAAGGCGGAGCTGGTTCCCTAGGTTGATTCTGGAGCGCCAAAGCAAGTACATTCCCGGCACAACTGAGCTGTCAGAGAAGAAAAACACAATTGGAGGCCGAGTGCTGCATCCCCTACCCCAGTCCCAGGGTCAGCAGGCAGCTGCAGGTGTTCCTGACATTTCCCACTGCTTATTAAAAAGGAAAACATTTAATAAAACAAAACACACACTTGTCACTCAGCAGTCTCGAAGTCCAGACACTGCCAAGGATACAGATTCCCATTTATGTCAATGCTCTGATAGGCACTTCTTGTCTGCTTTCCCTGGAAATGGACTTGCAGCCTGGAAAACAGAGTGTAGCTGGGAAAAAAAAACACGCTTATCCCAAAATGAAAGAAGGGGAAAGGCCACACCCTCTCTAGAGAATACTATGACAAAGGCCTCACCCCAGCCCCTTCATGCATGAGATTCTGCACTCCCTCCAGGGATGTGTGTGGGATTCCCTGCAATGCTGACCCCTGAGAGCCTGGACCACATCCCACAGTCCCAGGATTTTCAGGTATTCATGCCAGCAGCAGATGGAGCTTATAAATAACAGAATACAAATGTTCAAGTTGAGTGGGTGCTTAAATATCTTTTTATTATTATTTTTATTTTTGAGATGGAGTCTTGCTCAGTCACCCAGGCTGGAGTGCAGTGGCACGATCTCGGCCCACCGCAACCTCTGTCTCCTGGGTTTAAGCAATTCTCCTGCCTCAGCCTCCTGAGTAGCTGAGATTACAGGCATGTGTCACCACGTCCAGCCATTTTTTGTACTTTTAATAGAGACGGGGTTTCACCATGTTGGCCAGGCTGGTCTCAAACTCCTGGCCCTAAGTGATCCACCCACCCCAGCCTCCCAAAGTGCTGGGATTACAGGTGTGAGCCACCGCACCCAGCCAAATATCCTTATTTCATAGAGCAGGATGGGAGGCCCAGAAGGTCAGGTGAACACCCAGATGATGGGCAATGGCAAATGTTCCCTCTTGCCCACACCATTGCTCTTACCCACCCAGGGCAGTGGGAGGCCTGTGAAATCTCTGACGTTGTTTTCAAACATGTTTGGAATCATAGGCAAGTAAAGACTACTGCTGTCCAAGAAGAAAGTAAAAATCACCTGTAATTTTCCCATCCCAGAAATAACATCTGTGAATGCTGTGGAATAGATCTGCCTCTGTGCTTGTCTCTCCCCCTCGCCTTCTGTCTAATTCTATGCTCAACACCACAGAAAGCAGTTTTCAAGCACCTATATAAGGGTTATGACATTGTGCATATACAGGTCACAGAGGATTACTTGATAAATTCCAAAGAATCAATGTCATACAGATCATGTTCTCAGACCAGAATGCCAAAAACTTAGAAATAACAGAGGGATAATTTATAAAAACATATTACTGGAAACTAAGAGAATATATTTTAAAAGGTAAAAAAAAAAAAGTATAGCAAATTGCTAGTTACTCAGAGTGTCAATGAAATGGCAATGTATCAAAATGTGTAGGACTTACAGCAGTAGATAAAGGGAAATCACAACTTCAAACACAAGTAAAACTGTAAATTCAAGAAGTTGGAATAAGAGCAACAGATCCAAGAAAAAAGAAGGAAAAATAAGCAAAGAAAGAAAAAAATCAAAGTGGAGAAGGAAAAAACAGAAAAAATGACCAAATCAAAAGCTAATTATTTGAAAAGATTAATGAAATAAAATTCTGGCAAGACTGATCAAGAAAAAGTGAGAAAGGCCAGGCACGGTGGCTCACGCCTGTAATCTCAGCTTTGGGAGGCCAAGGCAGGCGGATCACAAGGTCAGAAGTTCAAGACCAGCCTGTCCAATATGGTGAAACCAGCTGGGCGTGGTTGTGCGCGCCTGTAATCCCAGCTACTCCAGAGGCTGAGGCGGGAGAATCGCTTGAACCTGGGAGGGGGAGGTTAGAGTGAGCCGAGATCGCACCATTGCACTCCAGCCTGGGCAATAGAGTGAGACTCTGTCTCAAAAAAAAAAAAGAAAAAAAAAAGAAAAGAAAAAGAGAAAATGAAATTGCAAATAGATGGAACCTACAATGAAAAAGAGAGGAAAACAATTACAGGCACAACAAAGATGCAAGAATAATGTAATTGCAGTAACCCTTCTGAAGCGGCGTTGTCAAATTATCAAACCTAAACCTGATCATGGATTTCAGATGGGACAGTTCCTTTGACCCCTTCATGGGCAGAAACTGGAGTGGCTCGTTTCACTCAGCCCGTCACTGGCCACTCCTCGCATGAGGGAGCGTAAGAGCAAGCGGGTGCAGGAACCTGAGCAAACGAACCCTAGAACCCACCGGTCGCTCCTCTCTGGAGGGATCAGGCTCTATGCATGCTACACAGCAGTGTGCGAGCATGTTACAACCAGCTCTCTTTCAGCTCTGCCGTCCTGGGAGGCCAAGTGCCAACCAGCTCAGTGGAGAGTCAGGGTGGTAGCCCCTGCCCTCTTGGCACCTGGGTTCTCGTCTGGCGTCCAGGAAGAATCAGCTCACACGAACTGTTTGAAAGGTGATGAATGCGGAAGACTGTATTGAGCGGTGGGTGGCTCTCAGCGGAAAGGAAGGCTGGAAAGGAGATGGGAAGGTGATCTTTCCCTGAAGCCCGGCAGTCTCCGGCCAGGTCCCTCTCCAAAGCTGCACCGTCTGGTTAGCCGCATCTATCCATTGTCTCTGACACTCAGTTGCTTCTCTGCCCGCCGCTCAGCCGCTTGCGTTGCTCTGCCAGTTGAAGTCTTTTACGGGCACAGGATAGGGGCGGGGCAGGCCAAAAAGGCAACATTTGCATGGAAAAACAGGATCACCTGTTTTCACTTAGGGCCGTGGTGTCTGGCTTAGGGGTGAGGTTTAGCTGGGAGCCCAGTTCTTCTGTATCGGATTGAGATTTAACTACCAACTTACAGGAATACAGACGACAAGGGAACGTGTCAAACTAGAGATGCAATCATGGGAAACTGGGAGGAAAACGGAAGTTATGAGAAATTAAAGGGCAGGTCTGCCAAGTGCAATGTGTAAACTTTGGATTCTGATTCAAATGACAAAGTTATCTCCCCTGCCAAAAAAAAAAAGAAAAAAGACATTCGTGAGAAAATTGGAAGTTTAAACACTTATTGGGAGTTTCTTGATGTTGATAAATTATTATCTGGGGAGGAGGTAATGACATTGTGAACAGGTTGAAAAAGAGTCTTTGTCTTTTGAAGATTTTTACCGGTGCATTTTCAGGTGTCATTATATAATGTCGGAGATTTGCTTGAAAGAATTATGAGGAGATGCAGGTGGGGCTCTAGAAGAAACAAGATTGGCCGTGAATTGGTAACTGCTGAAGCACCAGAGGTGTATTAATCCACTTTTCAATGTATTTGAAATTTTCTAGGAAAAAAAAAAGTTTTTAGAGTATTATGGACAACTGTATACTGAACAATGTGAAACTTGAGATATTATAGACAACTTTGTGGGGAAATATGAAATGCCAAGAGATAGTATACTTGAATAGACTAACAAGCATTAAAGAAACTGAAATGCTAATCATAGCTCCTCTCCCTAAAGCCCAGATAGCTTTACAAATGTGCTCTACCCAACTTTCAAGAGACAGATTTTTTGTATCTCACAAATTGTTCCAACAAGTGAAAAAAGAGAAAATTGTCCAGCCTTTTTAATGAAGCTAATGTAATCTTGATTCAAAACTGGATTGGGCCAATACATACACACACAAAAATTACAGGCTCATTGTATTTCTGAATAAGTGATATGGTTTGACTGTGTCCCCACCCAAATCTCAAATTGAATTGTATCGCCTAGAATTCCCACGTGTTGTGGGAGGGCCCCAGGGAGAGGTAATTAAATCATGGGGGTCAGTCTTTCCTGTGCTATTCTCATGATGGTGAATAAGTCTCACAAGATCTGATGGGCTTATCAGGAATTTCTGCTTTTGCTTCTTCCTTTTTTTTTTTTTTTTTTTTTTTTGACTAAGAGTCTTGCTTTGTCACACAGGCTGGAGTACAGTGGCTCAATCTCAGCTTACTGCAACTTCTGCCTCCCAGGTTCAGGCAATTCTCCTGCCTCAGCCTCCTGAGTAGCTAGGATTACAGGCACCCACCACCATGCCCAGCTGATTTTTGTATTTTTAGTAGAGACAGGGTTTCACCATATTGGCCAGGCTGGTCTCAAACTCCTGACCTCATGATCCAGTCACCTTGGCCTCCCAAAGTGTTGAAGTGTTGGGATTACAGGCGTGAGCCACTGCACCCAGGCGCTTCTTCCTCATTTTTTCTTGCCATGTAAGAAGTGCCTTTTGCCTCCTGCCATGATTCTGAGGCCTCCCCAGCCATGTGAAACTGTAAGTCCGATTAAACCACTTTTTCTTCCCAGTGGGGAAGAAATACCAGGAATGGGGTATTGCTGAAAAGATACCTGAAAATGTGGAAGTCACTTTGGAACTGGGTAACAGGCAGAGATTAGAACAGTTTGAAGGGCTCAGAAGAAGACAAGGAAAAGTGGAAAAGTTTGGGGCTTCCTAGAGACTTGTTGAATGGCATTGCCCAAAATGCTGATAGCAATATGGATAGTAAGGTCCAAGCTGAGGTGGTCTCAGATGGAGATGAGGAACTTGTTGGGAACTGGAGTAAAGGTGACTTTTGTTATGTTTTAGCAAAGAGACTGGTGGCATTTTGCCCCTGCCCTAGAGATTTGTGAAACTTTGAACTTGAGAAAGATGATTTAGGGTACCTGGGGGGAGAAATTTCTAAGCAGAATTCTAGATGTGACTTGGGTAATGTTAAACGCATTCAGTTTTATAAGGGAAACAGAGCATAAGAGTTTGGAAAATTTGCAACCTGACTATGCGATAGAAAAGAAAAACCCATTTTTTCTGGGGAGAAATTCAAACCAGCTGCAGAAATTTGCATAAGTAGCAAGGAACCTAATGTTAATCCCCAAGACCATGGAGAAAAATGTTTCCAGGCCATGTCAGAGAACTTCATGGCAGCCCTTCCCACAGGCCCGGAGGCCCTGGAGGAAAAAGTGGTTTCAGAGACTGAGCCAAGTGTCTCCATACTGTGTGCAGCCTAGTACTTGGTGCCCTGTGTCCCAGCCGCTCCAGCCGTGGCTGAAAGTGGCCAACATACAGCTTGGGCTGTGGCTTCAGAGGGTGGAAGCCCCAAGCCTTGGCGGCTTCCATGTGGTGTTGAGCCTGCAGGTGCACAGAAGTCAAGAATTGAGGTTTAGGAACCTCTGCCTAGATTTCAGAAGATGTATGGAAATGCCTGGATGCCCAGGCAAAAGGTTTGCTGCAGAGGCAGTGCCCTCATGGAGAACCTCTGCTAGGGCAGTGTGGAAGGGAAATGTGGGGTCAGAGCCCCCACACAGAGTCCCTGTTGGGGCACTGCCTAGTGGAGCTGTGAGAAGAGGGCCACTATCCTCCAGACCCCAGAATAGTAGATGTGCCAACAGCTTGCACCATGCACCTGGAAAAGCCACAGACACTCAACGCCAGCCCATGAAAGCAGCCAGGAGGGAGACTGTGCCCTGAAAAGCCACGGGGGTGGAGCTACCCAAGACCATAGGAGCCCATCTCTTGCATCACCATAACCTGGATGTGAGACGTGGAGTCAAAGAAGATCATTTTGGAGCTTTAAAATTTGACTGCCCCACTGGATTTTGGACTTGCATGGGCCCTGTAACCCCTTTGTTTTGGACAATTTCTCCCATTTAGAAAGGCTGTATTTACCCAATACCTGTACCCCTATTGTATCTAGGAAGTAACTCACTTGCTTTTGATTTTATAACTCATAGACAGCAGGGACTTGCCTTGTCTCAGATGAGACTTTGGACTGTGGACTTTTGAGTTAAGACTTTGGGGGACTGTTGGGAAGGCATGATTGGTTTTGAAAAGTTAGGACATGGGATTTGGAGGGGCCAGGGACAAAATGATATGGTTTGGCTGCGTCCCCACCCAAATCTCAACTTGAATTGTATCTCCCAGAATTCCCACATGTTGTGGGAGGGACTCAGGGGAGGTAATTGAATCATGGGGCCAGTCTTTCCCATGCTATTCTTGTGCTAGTGAATAAGTCTCACCAGATCTGATGGGTTTATCAGGGGTTTCCGCTTTTGCTGCTTCTTCATTTTCTCTTGCTGCCACGATGTAATAAGTGCCTTTTGCCTCCCGCCATGATTCTGAGGCCTCCCCAGCCACGTGAAACTGTAAATCCAATTAAACCTCTTTGTCTTCCCAGTCTCAGGTATGTCTTTATCAGCAGCATGAAAACAGACTAATAAGTCTGCAAAAATAACAAATAAAATATTAACTGAACTAATCCAACAATGTAGTAAACAATAGATATGGTTTATCCCAGCAATATAAGGAAGACTTATGGGCCGGGTGCAATGGCTCATGCCTGTAATCCCAGCATTTTGGAAGGCCAAGGCGGGTGGATTACCTGAGGTCGGAGTTCGAGACCAGCCTGACCAACATGGAGAAACCCCGTCTCTACTAAAAATACAAAATTAGCTGGGCGTGGTGGCACATGCCTGTAATCCCAGCTACTAGGGAGGCCGAGGCAGGAGAATTGCTTGAACCTGGGAGGCAGAGGTTGCAGTGAGCTGAGATCACACCATTGCACTCCAGCCTGGGCAATAAGTGAAACTCTGTCTCAAAAAAATAAAAAATAAAATAAATAAATAAGGAAGACTTATCAGAGAATGCATTCATATTATTCATCACAGTAAAGAGTAAACAAGGAAAAATGTACATTTATTTCAATAGATGCAGAAAAACCATTTAATAAAGTTCAACAGCTATTTTTTATAATTAAAAATCTTAGCAAAACGAGTTCTATAAAATGAATGTTTGTGACCCCCAAACTTCATAGATTGAAACCTAATTTCCAATGTGATGGTTTTAGGAAGTAGGTTCTTTTGGAAGTGATTAAGTTATGAGGTGAAACCCTCATACATGGGATTAGTGCCCTTATAAGAGGCTAAAAAGACCACAGTTTCTTCATCCAACATGTAAGGATGAAGGGAGAAGATGCCTTCTATGAACAAGCACCAAATCTGCCAGTGTCTTGATCTTGGATTTCCCAGCCTCCAGAGCTTTGAGAAATAAATTTCTGCTATTTACAAGTTACAGATTTGTGGCATTTTGTTGGAGCAACCTGAACAGACTAAGATACTAAAAATGGAAAACAACCCTTAAATTGCTACCAAAAAAAACCTATAGCAAACATTTTTCTTATAGAGAAAATTTAGGCACATTCCCTTTAAAATTGGAAATGGGACCAAAATGCCCTGTGACTTCTATTGTTTGACTTGGAACTGGAGATCCTAACCATTACTGTAAGAAAAGAAAATATTTAAAGAAAAAAAAAAGCAGGTTTAGCTACTTGAAGGGAAAAGAAGAGATGAAACTGCTATTATTGTAGGATTATCTACATAGAAAAACCGACAGAGCAAAGAACCCATTATAGTTAGTAGTAAAATTCAGCAAGGTTCTCAGGAATAAGATCAACTTATAGAAATGTCTAACATAAAAAAAAAAAAAAAAAG